TGAAAAAGAGATCTAGAGCCAATGCAAGGACCAGCTCCTCCCATGACATCGGGTCTCTTCGACCAAGATATCACGTGCTGACTGAATGCATGTGACCAACTTACGATCATGTACAGTAGGTAGCTCCTTCAACTTATAATCGGGGAGCCCCGGCCCTGAATAGACCCATCTAATATTACCAACTTTTGTTATTTAACTGAGTTAAGCGGAAAAACCCTTAGGAATTGTAATTCGAATTTCATGGGCAAACATTTGGGTTTGGGCTTTTTCGGATAAATTCTTCAATTCTTTTCTGACCACGTTTTTTATCTTAGAATTGTGACATTAATTTCAGTTCAATTTCGCAGGCTGAAAATTTGACAAAGTTTTAAAATGTCCTTTGTCAAATGTTATTTTGTAAGATCAAGATGATGGAAATTGAAGAGGTTTTGAAGATGAAGCCTGAAGACAGGCTTTAAAACTCAGACGGAAATATCGAGAAATAGCTACTTGACAGTTAATTTGTTGAAGGGATCACGAAATCAACGCATCAGTGACGCATGTTATGGATCAGAATCCAGTACTTCAGTCTGGCTGTCCTCCTCGACCCACTAGCATGGAAACTCGGCCCAGCGCGCGTTAATCAGGAAGATGGAACACAAGACCAACTGAGAGTATTTCCTTTTAAAGAACGGGGTATTTATTTTAGTATGCGTACGTGCTGCTCTTCGGCCATTTCCGCTTCATTATTATCACTGGTCGCGCCACTGCGCTTTACACGGTATCCGGGGTTATGACCTGTAAAATTTTTTATCATTCCCTGTTATTGCAACATTCCATAAACACAGTGCGTTCGTGAGAAAAGCTTTTGTCGACTTTGTTGGATGGACGCCTGTAAATCTGTGTAAATGGACATAAACTAACTCCAGAAATGACTTGCTTACACCGCTACAGTTTGGATAGTACATTCATCCTTCTAGTTATTTGTGGAAGCATTGGATTATCAGCTCAACAATCTGGCGGTGGGTGAACTTTTATATAAGACTGATATACAAGGATGTGAGAACCATCAAACTGATCGCAAGGATAAAGTTTAATTTAGAATCTAAGAAATGAAATTCTCACCTGTGTGAAATGTCATAAATGAGATACTCTGAGAAATGTTCCGTACTCAAATTTAAAGCTCATAGAGCTTTGTATTGAGATGCCATATTGGTGTCACCCCTAAGGCGGGATTATAGCCCGGGGGGGGGCACTTTAGGAATTTCTGGGTGGGGATGTGCCGCTGGGACCCTGGAACCCTTAACCTATACCAGAGCTAGTTCAGCTAAATTTTGCTACCCTATACTAGAGTAAACTCCCCAAATCCCCCCTATCCTAGAGTAGCTGTTTCCCTAGTCGAGGTAAAATCTTCAACCAACTGATCAGTTTCCGGAAAAATAATACCCTATTCTAGACCCAAATNCAGTTGCCGGAAAAAAAATCCCCTTTCTTAGACCCAATGTTTCTGATTTATTTCCCCTATCCTAGAGTAAACTGTTTAAAACCCATCCCCTTCCCAGCGCAAAAAACCAATAAACCCCAAAATTGGCAGTCCCCCCCCCCCCCCGGGGATTATAGCGGCCAGAAACTGACGGAAACATGATTGTGTTTTGTCAGGAAAGCGTGAATTTCATTACAAGAGGAACCTGAACAACTCATAAACATTGATGTTGGAGTTCTTCTGATAATGAGGCTCTTCAGATAGCAAAATCTCAAAAGACAAGTCATTTTTTTTAATCCACGACTCTCGACCGCCTTTTAAGACTCTTTTAAATGATGCGTAATGAAGATCAAGTGCACACTTTCGATTGCAAATTAAACTAAACTTGCTCCCTTTAAAATAAAATGTATTTAAGTATAGCACGGTGTTTATCTGCTCCGAATACGTTGTGAAAGTTTTTAAAATGGGAAGGTCGCTGGCTGTCCAGAAACCTGGATCACTATAATTCGTAACAGTATTCGTAATTATACTTCTCATAAATTACATTAATTTGTATCACGTTGACGAATTAAGTGAAAGGGTGTTTTTTTTTTCATGATGTAATGCTGCATGCTCATAAAACGTGTCGACCTGGTCAAAAGAGAGAGAAAAACATAACAATTAATACTTGGAAGAGATGCGAGCATAAGATTATTAACAGAAACTCGTCAAAATAGAAATAAGGACACTTTTCAGAAACAACTCTATTTAAATTTTCTTTTATTGGCCAATTTTCGGCGCGTAAATTACTGTATGGACGGACGTTTAATTCTGTGCTACAATTGTGGCCATAAAAAAGTTAAATGCACAGTAGTTTTTGAAAACTTAAATTTTACCCCTGTGACTTTGTAACGCGCTTTTGTTTTCTCAGTAAAATTTTAAAAGTATACTTTGTTTGCAAAGCCTGTAAAATCTTACCGACGAGCCCATTTTTCTGTTTCCAAAGCGTTTATTGCTACTTTATTAGACGTTTTTGAGGTCCGACTACTGTAAATTAGGGAACCTCCATTTTCCACTGCGATTTATGAGGCGTGTCGGTCGGGCTTGGGTTATAAGATACAGTAACTAAGAACCTCAGAATCGACTGATAAAATGTCTTCTAGCGTATGACAAACAAAACCACACTGGAATCTGATATAGCCTGCCTTATTTACATTTCATTTACATATATTGAGTCGGTAAAATCGTCAAGATATCACACCAACCGAAATAAAAACAAAGAAATAAATAAACAAATAAAATCGGTTAATGAATAAAATACAGATATATCAATATATAAAATAATGATATGAAAGTTAAAGAAAGAAAACTGTATAAACTATATATAACTATTATTTAAGAAAAGCTGATAACCTATACTTAAAAGTTTCTAAGGAGGTTGATGAAACAATGGTCTCTGGGAGGTAGTTTGCGTAAATGGACGCTTCGCTCCTGCAGCTAACCGTTGTGGTGCGATGTTCGATGTCTAAACGGTTTGTTCTTTGATGTGAAGTATTTATGAAATAATTCTTTTTTTTTTTTCCTTTTTGTTCTTTACCGTTGCCGTTCAAACTGTACCAGATATCTTTTCATGATGACAGGAAAAGCTGTCCTATATACTGTTGACATAGCCTCAACGACTCCCAACAATGCTGGGACTTGTTGCGTCCGTCAAACGAACGCAACATTGTTGGCCAACAACTCCCAATATTGTTAGGTGTTACATGTTCCGTCCTTTTGCACACCTTGTTGCATGTTGTTGAGCAAAGTTTGAAACCGGTCAAAATTTAGCTTCGTGCATACGGATGCAACAACTCCCATCAATGTTGGGAGTTGTTACATGTTCCGTCCTTTTGCACACCTTGTTGCATGTTGTTGAGCAAAGTTTGAAACCGGTCAAAATTTAGCTTCGTGCAAACGGATGCAACAACTCCCATCAATGTTGGGAGTTGTTGGCCAACAATGATTCGTCCGTTTGCATGGGGCTTTAGACATAAAACAATCCAGACTAAAGCCCCGTGAAAACGGACGCAACATTTTTGGCCAGCAACTCCCAGCATTGATGGGACTTGTTACGTCGTTTGCTCATGGGTTAACCACACATGAGAACTTCTTCAATGAAGACTTTCACTGTTTTGCGACTCGCGTTTGTCACTCAAATCTTGGTACAGCTGAAAACGTTAAGCTGCGTGCAGATGGACGGCGCAACATTGTTAGCCAACAACTCCCAAGATTGTTCGGAGTTGTTGCGTCTGTTCGCACGTAGCTAAGGCTGCGTGCAAACGGGAGCAACAACTCCCAACATTGTTGCGCCAACAATGTTGGGAGTTGTTGCGTGCGTGTTGGCAGTGGTGTGCAAACGGATGCAACATTTCCCAACAAGTTTGGGACCTGCAGTGCATTGTGGGAAGAATACAACCTACAAGTCTTTGTGATCCATGCGTAATGAGCGTGCGTGGCCCCAACAATGTTGGAAGAGTTGTGCAACGCTTCGGCGATCACAGAACAAAAGAAATGTTGGGAGTTGTTGGATAAAAAGTTTGACCGGTTTCAAACTTTGCACAACAACATTCAACAGGGTGTGCAAACGGACGCAACATGTGACATCCAACAATGTTGGGAGTTGTTGGCCAGCAATGTTGCGTCCGTTTGCACGGGGCTTAAAAGTTTGACCGGTTTCCAATTTATGCGCAACAACTCCCAACAACACGCCACAATATGCATCAGGGCGTGCAAACGGACGCAACATGTAACATCCAACAATGTTGAAGGTTGTACATTAAAAGTTACAAACGACAAAATGAACTTGTCTTTGCAAAAACTGTTGGGCTAACACGTTTTCACCCAAGTTTGTCCATCCGCGCCTCCTTTTGTATTTGCTGAGTTATTTACACCTTCTTTAAATGTTTTGAGCAGGTATTTTTACGTTTCGCTCATTTTGGTGCCAGTTCCTATTATTAGAATTTTGATAAATTTCGTGACACATCTCCTTTAAGCACCGTGCCGAGGTTTCATTTGAATGGTAATAGCACATAATTACGTCCCCAGATTTAAACGAAAGAGTGACAAACTATTTCTCTATGGCTTGTTCTAGGACTAAAAGAGATAATATATTCTTTGCTGCAGAATTGAAAAATTTCCTCCACTCGTTCACTAACAATATTATCTGACTTTTCAGAAAAACCACAATTTAGACGTCTGGATTTAATGAGGAAGACCGAAAAAGAATTTAGGGTAGGAGAAAAGTCAGTGATTTTAATGTGTGAGGCTGTTGGTAAGCCTACTCCGATTGTCACGTGGTACAAAGACGGCAAGATATAAGAAATGTCTGGTCAGAGACCGGGTCCTTACGACTACCAACTAGAATTAAATGAGTTGGATGTTGCGGATAGCGGATCCTACATGTGTAATGTGTCTAACGCGTTTGGGTTCTTGACTTATACTTACAATATTACAGTCGAAGGTTAGTGTTATTATTTGCTATTGTCTTAATACATTGGAACCTCAATAAAACGAAGGGCTAAGGGATTGGCAAAAGTTGTTCGCTATGGCGAGGTTTCTTTAATATACCGAGGTTCTTTTTCATATATTTACCATTACATGTACTTGGGCAAAGAAAATCGATCGTTATATCGAGGACTTGGTTATATAGAGGTTCGTTATAATTATATCGAGGTTCCACTGAAGTCATCATCATAATGATCATGATCATCATCATCATCATCATCACCATTATCAGTTGGCTGTTATGCAAGCGACTGCGAGGACGGTTGGTCAGCGGTCGTCATGGTGGCCGGTCAAGATTTTCTCGCTCTCGGCCATTCGTCTCGCCATTCGAGGCCTTTATTTGTATTTTTTTTGCAATCTCTTTGCTTGTTTATCAACTTTTTCGACAAATGAACGGCCATTGCATTCGACCTAGCTGCTTGGCGGCTTTCTCTCCAGCAAGGATCCTCATCCTTGCGGTGCCTTTGGCTTCTTTTAGCGGCCGCCATCTTGGTTTTATCAAATACCACCAGTCCAGAGTCCCGCTGTATGGCGCTCCAACAGCTTGTATGACGATGCAGCTTGTGAGACACAGCTCTCTTGAACTTCTCATCCATTCCGGTGGTGTTCAGCTTAACCCAGGCCCTGACACCGGCTCTAACCCTGTGACATCGTACGGTCGGCGTTTTGTATCCGGTCAGTGTAAAACGCAGACTGCGGACTGCAGACTGCATACTGCGGATCAGGTGTAAAATGCAGACTGAGAGTAAAACGCAGGCTGCGTGCAAAATGCAGAATAAAGACTGTAGACATTTTTAACCATTTGTGCTCCTTCTTCTCCAAATCGGTGAAATGGCTAGCCGGTATCAGTTACACACTTCGCTTACTATTCGAAGTGCATTGCACATTCGGCAGAAGTCTCAATGAACATCCGAACAGCTTAAGTCTGCGTACCTTGATTTGCAATACTTTCATAGAAGGTCATCCAAATTTCCTGCAGAACATCTTTCAAATGTATTCCCTTTTTTATCGCCATATTCTTCCTGTACAGTATTTTGGGTCAGCAGCTTTCATTTAAGCGTAAACATCGTGGTTTTGCACCAATTCACTGTCCCTGGTCACGTATATCGAAAACTTCGCATCTAAAGTTGAAGCGTGAAGTCTCTCGGACGGAAAAAAAGGTTCAAGATTGCTATTATGTTTTCGGGTCGTCGATGACGTTCCAGAGAAGAATTAAAAGGAATGGACTTGTAAAAGCAGATGTCGTCAAGTAAGTGTTCGTTTACATGTATTTGCGGGATTTTTCTGCCCTTTTAAAAACCCTTCCTAAACTACAGTTTATGCTCAGTCTGCATTTTACCCCAGCCTGCGTTTTACTTTTAGTCTGCAGTCCGCATTTTACACACAGTCTTCATTTTACCCCTGGTCCGCAGTCTGCAGTCCGCAGTCCGCAGTCTGCGTTTTACACTGACCGGTTTTGTATGCATCGGCCACTCCAATGTACGTGGGCTTTTAAGAGCGCCTGTCTGTAAAAATCAGACAAATTCAAAATTTCGCGGCAAGGGTGGAAAATTCGATTTCTTTCATATTTTAATGTTAGATAGGCTAGGGTATAACTAAAATCACTGTATGGTTTTTTTGGTGAAATATCCTTTTATTTCAGAGATAAATGCAAATAATCAAAATCCTTTAAAATCGTCATTTGAGGCGCTCAATCATTACATGGGTTTGAAAGCCTTGCGTGCAAAAACCGATAACTCTCCCGTCTTTAAAACATCACAGCCTTCTTTTACAACTTCTAAATATCTGTTAAAATGATATGGGGAGATAGTACTCTGTTCTTTGTATACAATATAATTTAATTTCGAAGACATACAATTTACTTCAGTAAAAGTAATGCGTGAAAAAACGCAATTTTCACCATGTGCGAAACCTTCAAATCGATTAAGCTGCTGGTGGTTGAATGTTAGAAGGATGGTCTACAGATTCCTGTAGAAATGTCTTTGGGCAAATGATTACTAGCGACGCGAGAGCTTTACAAAATCTGTTAAAAATGCAGATATTTGACCTTTCCTGGTCAACTTTGAAGTTGCTAGTCGGACAAAATTTCATCCTGTCACTTGTCTAAACTCACAGTAGATTAAAATAAGCAGATAGGAAACCCTTCTGAAATGTTCTTACCTTAAAATCTGCTGTAAAAGACGAGTCCAAAGGCCATTTTAGTCCGATTATCGAGTCGTTTGATCTTTGTCTTGAAACGTGTAATTGTACACCGCGCCAACTGTCAACGTATTCTCAGGACAAATACAATTCTTTGATCAACTTTCGGGGCTGTTCATTACGACTGCATCTTTTTCGACGGCTCAGTCATTTGTTAAACATTGCTTAGAATGTAGTATCTGAAAATATTACCGCGCCGGTACTACATCTGACTGCTGCAACAGAATGACACAAAAATGCCTGTGATGCAGGCAGTCGTTTGCAAGTCACGCAATCCAATTTAGCAGGGCGGAGAAGGGTGAAGTAGCAAACGGCCACAACGAGAACAACAGCAACAATTAAGGCTGATCACTATACTGGATAGCTTTTCGTGCAGACACAAAAAGCTATCCGGTAAAGTATGAACACCTATCCGGTATGTGAATCTCCTGTTTAGAGACCGGCGCGTCGCAGTTTTGCTTTCCTCCCCGGGTGGGAGGGGGGGGAGGTACTGCCTTATAAGAGGCTAATGGGGATGTGCCGCTGGATGGGGTTGCATTTTTACGACTGGATTGACTATTCTTGGCTTGCACTGTCACGCAATGAAAAATAAAAATGCAAACCATGCAATACAGAAGGACTAGAATCTGGGAAATGAAAAAAGATAAATATACTAAAACCCCTGCCAAGAATCAGGTCTGTGAAATATTTCAAATGCGAGATATTGGGAAAAACGGTTTACCTAAATTTATAAAGCTTTGTATGGAAACGCCATGTTGGTGTCCCTTTCAGGAACACCAATATGGCCGCCGGATACCAACAGAAACATCTGTTTTTGAGTTTTCCTACTAATGCGTGAATTCTTCGCTTGAGGAACTCATAAAGATTACAGTAATATTTATTCTGAGACAAGGAATGTTTAGATTGCAAAATCTCCCAAAATCGGTAATGTTTTTAACCCACGTAAGAGCTTTCCCTGCCGCCAGCTAAATGCCGCGTCACGCAGAAGCCTGGAAATTCAAGCGTCCTCTCTCGCAAAACGAAGAACCCTTTCGAACCAAAAATTTTTTTATGTAATGGTGTTTAGGTACTGTAATACCTAGTGAAAGTAGAAACTCAGAAGAATCGATAGTTTCTTAGTTTGATTTTTGGTGACGTCACGTGCAACCCAAGAATAATGGGGTCACATTTTCAATGGAGGTACTAGAATGGGGTCACACACTTTCGGATTTTTGGGGGGGAGACTGTTCGTCATATTTACGGTTAGCAAACGTTTCAGAATGTTTGTACTGCAGACGGAAAGTAAAGTGGTCTCATTCAATTTTAAAAATGGGTCAATTCATGAAAATAGAAAGTGAAAGTTGGGATGGCGAAAATTACATATTTGCCCAAAAGTGACTAAGATGGGGTCTATAATTGGCCACAAAATAGACTATAATGGGGTAGGGGCTCTGAGAGGCCAGCGGCACATACCCAGCAAAAATTAACCCAAGTAACCCCCCGGAGCTTTTTCGGACCGAAATCACCCTTCTTTGCGTGAACAGAAGCCCTATCGGGTATGCCTTTTTTTTGTGCCTGCACAAAAGCTCCCCGGTATAGAGTGAATGAAGACAATCTATAGCTTCAGATAGTGAAACCCTTAGACAAGGTCTTTCCCTGTTAAGATCCAAATACTGGTCATTTTGTTTATTCACAATTTTGGTTGTCAGCTCCCGGTCTGGGTGATTTTATTAAACGGTATCAGGACCGTTATCAGTGCCATGACCTGCCGATAGAAGCCGTACTTGGAGTTGTTAAAAAATTTAGTACAAGTCTGCAGCTGCAATTCTGTAGAACAAACTCTAACGTAAGCATTAAGTCACAGTCTAGGGACCTCTGGCATTAAGGTCATTTCCCAACCCTTTTCTTAGAATCATAGTAGTGGTGGTGTTACGAGACAGCTGTTTAAGACCTCGGTATATTTTGCAAGCTACGTAAATACCGTATTTCCTCGAACAAGCGCCCCAGCTCGGCTAAAAGGAGAGGTGCTTATACTGGAAGGAGGGTGCTTAATAAGGGAGGAGCTTGTTAACTTTTCCTTTCAACAAACGGTATTTCTATTTTGTATAAATGCATCTTAACGCGTTTGGTGGTCTGTCCTGTGCGTTCATTTTAACTCTTTTTGATTTAACCTGTAACATATCTGTGTACCGTATTTCCTCGGTAAGGGCCCACGATCTAATAAGCGTCCGTCCCCGAATAAGCGCTCACCCCGTTGGACATAATATCATGAAACAAGCGCCCCTACCGAATAAGCGCCCTCTCTCCTCCTCATAACTTTCTGTAATAGTAGGAATACAAGAGGAATGGGACGATCTGCTTATTGATGACGAGGATAAACCTGGGGGGTAGTTCCAAAAAAATTGGGCGGGGTTGTGCGGCGCGCCTCCTGAAATCCTTACCCTATTTCAGACCAAAATCTGAGATTTTCCCTACCCTACTTCAGACCTGATCCTTAAATCAATACCCTATTTCAGACGTGCCTTATAATCAGTTTCCTAGGTCAGACCAATGTTTAAGGCAATGTTGATACGCTTTGATTAAGTAGGATACAAAACTGTACAAAACTGTACTGTTACGGAACGTACCAGGTTGGCCTAAAACCCAAAGGGAAATGGTCTTATCGCCTAATGATGAAGAAGTAGCTTCTTCTAAAAAAACATACCCAGACCAAACTGGTCGAAATTGATACCCTTTTTTAGACCAAAAAAGATAAAAAACCATACTCTTCGGCGCCGCACACACCTAAATAGCCGATATTAGGGATTACCCTCCCTCCCCCCTCTCCCGGGACGCAATCACTACATATTTGTGTAAAGTGTTTAATGGGACTTCGGTACTCTTGATTATAACAACCACTGTTTTAACGAATAAAAGGCACATGTCTAGAAGAATCTGTGCTGAAAACTTTCAAAACCTTTTACAAAACAAGAACTGATTACGCTCACAAAACTTCGTGTACAAAAGGTCGCAACTAGCAGCATATCCCTTTTGATTAGCGCCTGCAACAATGATTCTTGCTTATTTTTCATTTTTGAAACCCTGTTCGCAAATGAGTCACGCGAGTTGTTAGTGTAACCAATAACGTTAATTGGTAACGTTCGCGAAATAAGATGACCCAACGAAGGATAGCTGTCAAAATAAAAGGAAGAGAGGATTTTGTCGCCTGAAAAAAAGCTGTAGGCATCTTTCAAGTTTTGTTAATTACAAAATTTTCCAATTTTTTGCAAAGGCCAAACTCTTTTTTTTTGTCGCAGTGCGAACAGGTTTAGTTTTTTGTCGATGTTTATTATGTCGTAACTAACAACAGCGCTAGATTGTAGAGTGCCAGAGTGGTTACAGTAGAAACTAGACTTTAGCAAAGATGAAGCAAGC